CAAAACACAGAAGAGCTCCCACGGCACAGAGACTTTCAGTCACAACTCCCAGTATGTGGGAGTGGTCCTGAGCTTGAGCACACAGGTCAAGAAGCAAGTCTCCTCTCAGGCTGGAGCGATAGCACAGCCGGTACGGTGTTTGACTTGCACGTGGCTGACCCAGGTTCGATTCCCAGCATCCCATATGGTCCCCCAAGCACAGCCAGGAGTGATTCTTCAGTGCATGGGCCAACTCCTGAGCATGGCTGGGTGTGACCCAAAAAGAAAAAAAAAGAAGCAACTCTCCCCTCTAGAGCCTTGGAGTGACCAGAGTGACCAGCAAGGTGTTCCTTTGCTAGACTTTCTGCACCATTAGTAAAGATTCACTTCTGGGACAAAGGACACAGTTCACTTGCAAGTGAGGACATGCTACGTTCCAAAGGATGAATTTCCTTGTTTTTTGAAAGGTTCCAGAGCCTTAAACCAATGAAAGGTAATCCAGGCCATTCAACTCCAGACCCAAAATTATGGTAAGATACCTGGACCAACTAAATGAAACTGCCTCAGACTTTCATGCCAAAATTCCACCCAATCACTCCATGTTGACCTCCCGAATAAAGGGATTACACACACACACACACACACACACGTATATTTTAGGAGAAATTTGGATCTTTTACTCAATCATACTGTCCTCAATTTTACCCACTGCAGAGAAGTAGAGGACATGGAGGATGAGTGTCTTGAGCCTATCCAAACACTGCCGAGCACAATTTGCAGCTATGCAGTATTGCCCTAGTCCACATACTTTTCCAATGGTTGTGAGATTTTCATGAATATGAAAATCATTTCTGGGGCTGGAGCGATAGCTTTGCGGTAGGGCGTTTGCCTTGCACGCAGTCGACCCAGGTTCGATTCCCAGCATCCCATATGACCCCCTGAGCACCGCCAGGTATAATTCCTGAATTGAGTGCAGAGCCAGGAGTAACCCCTGTGCATTGCCGGATGTGACCCAAAAAGCAAAAAAAAAAATCATTTCTGAGGGTCAGAGAGATAGCACAGAGGGCAAGGGGCTTGTCTTTCACATGACTGACCTGGGTTTGACTGATTTCTAGCACACCCCATATGGTGCCCCCAAGCCCACCAGGAATGATCCCTGAGTGCAGAGCAAGGAGTAGGCCCTGCGCACTGCTGGGTGTGGCTCAAAAGCCAAAAAGAAGGAAGGAAGGAAGGAAGGAAGGAAGGAAGGAAGGAAGGAAGGAAGGGAGGAAGAAAAGAAAGGAAGGAAGGACAAAATAAAGAAAATGTATAGAGAAGGAAAGGAGGAAGGGAAAAAGTAGGAAGAAAAGAGGTAAAGTATGAAAGAAAGGAAGAAAAAGAGGAAGAAAAAGCAAGCAATGAAGAGAGAAAAGGGAAAAGACAGACAGACAGGCAGAAAGAAAGAAAGAAAGAAAGAAAGAAAGAAAGAAAGAAAGAAAGAAAGAGGGCCGGAGCAATAGCACAGCGGGTAGGGCCTTTGCCTTGCATGCATCCGACCTGGGTTCGATCCCCGGCATCCCATATGGTCCCTCAAGCACTGCCAGGAGTAATTCCTGAGTGCAGAGCCAGGAATAACCCCTGAGCATCACTGGGTATGACCGAAAAAAGAAAGAAAGAAAGAAAGAAAGAAAGAAAGAAAGAAAGAAGAAAGAAAGAAAGAAAGAAAGAAAGAAAGAAAGAAAGAAAGAAAGAAGAAAGAAAGATCATCTTACCAGTTGTGATCATCAGTAGCAGAATGGCTTTTGTTGTAAGAGCAATGAGCTGCATGGTTATACTATTATCCAGGTATGTATGGTTGCTAAGAAGTTCAGGAACATTTTCCCCCACAGAGACTACCCCAAACAATACTAGGAGGGCTCTGGGGGCTCACAGTCCCAGCAATGCTTGGTCTGGTAGTGCAGGCCTGACTGTTGAGTGACCATTAGAGCTACACCCAGGGGTGCTCACAGAGTCAGGAGGTGCCAGGACTCGCTCAAACTCAATTTCAAATGTCATGCTCTATCACTTTGATCTCCCTGGTTGAGTCAGGAATATTCTTTTTTGTGCCTTTGGGGCCACATCTAGCAGTGCTCAGTGATCACTCATAGTGGTGCTGAGGGGATCCTATTCAGCGCCAGGGATAGAACCCGGTAGACCACATGTAAAGTAAGTACCCTACCTGCTGTACTGTCTCTATAGCCCCAAGAAGGAGCATTCTTTAATGATACGATTGGCTATCTAATCCACAAATATGATTGATCTGTACATTTGTCTTAATATCCTCTAGATTAATCTGATAACAAGTGCTTCTAGGACCAGAGCGATAGCACAGTGGGGAGGGTGTTTGCCTTGCACATGGCCAACCCAAGTTCATCTCCGGCATCCCATAGGGTCCCCTGAGCACTGCCAGGAGTATTCCTGAGTGCAGAACCAGGAATAACCGCATCGCAGGTGTGATGCAAAAAAGTAAAAAGAAACAAACAAACAACAACAACAACAACAACAACAACAAACATGTGCTTCTGATACGGAGAGAGGATCCAGCCCCTACTGAAGACCAGTTTCTAAAGAGAAATTCAGTGTTAGGTTTGTAAACCTTTTTCTGATGCACTCCCTGTTTTGGCAAAGGCCCTTGCTCTCTGGTTTATTTCTTCCATGGACAGAGTCAGTAATCTTTGTTAGATTTTATAATCTACACACTCCACTCAAGAGCGCAGGTGACTTTGACAGTGTAAATCATTTTAGTAACATGTGATGCACATATTTCTGGCTAAAACCTGCTGATTTTTCTAAGGTGCTCTGTCAAAAACTGAAATCTCAGCAATGTCATGTTAGCGAGTTAGGTATATATCGCGAACACTATTTTCAAACTGCCCTTGTTTGTTTTGTTGAATTCATCACTTCTAAAGCCCCAGAAATTACAAGTGGGTTTTATTTCTGTGATTCTAACTTTAAATTTTTTAATTTAAAAAAATTTTTAGGGGGCTGGAGCAATAACACAGCAGGTAGGGCGTTTGCCTTGCACGCAGCCGACCTGGGTTCAATTCCCAGCATCCCATATGGTCCCCTGAGCACCGCCAGGGGTAATTCCTGAGCACAGAGCCATAAGTAACCCCTGTGCATCACCGGGTGTGACCCAAAAAGCAAAAATAATTTTTTAATTTAAAATTTTAATTATAATTTAAAATTTTAATTAAAATTAAAATTTAATTTAAAATAACTTTAAAATTTTTCATTCCGTGGGGCCAGAGTGATAGTACAGTGGTGAAGGTGTTTGCCTTGCATGCAGCTGACCCAGGTTTGATCCCCCGCATCCCATATTGTCCTCTAAACCTGCCAAAAGTAATCCCTGAGCACAGAGCCTGGAATAAGCCCTGAGCACTGAAACGCGAGCATGACCCAAAATCCAAAAAAAATTTTCATTATGACCTTGTAGAAGCAGATATAAAAGAAATTAAATTTAAAATAAATTAAAAGATGGGGCTGGAGAGATAGCACAGCGGGTAGGGCGTTTGCCTTGCACGCAGCCGACCAGGGTTCAATTCCCAGTGTCCCATATGGTCCCCTGAGCACTGTCAGGAGTAACTCCTGAGTGCAGAGCCAGGAGTAGCCCCTGTGCATCGCCGGGTGTGACCCAAAAAGCAAAAAAAAAAAATAAAGTAAAATAAATTAAAAGGAAAAGGTTTTGTTTAAAAAAAAAACGGTAGTTTAAAGAGATGGGAACTGGCCGTTTTTTTCTTTTTTCCCCCTCTTTTCTTTTCTTTTTTTTTTTTTTTGCGGGGGAGGTTGGGTTTTGGGCCACACCTGGGAGTGCTCATGGCTTATTCCTGGCTCAGGAAGCAGGGATTATTAATCCCGGTGGACTCTGGAGTGTCAGGGATCAAACCCAGGTTGGCTGCATGCACCCTAATCCACTGTACTATTTTTCCAGTGCCAGCAAATGTTTATTTATTTATCTATTTTGGGGCTTGGGGTCACATATGGAGGTGCTCAGGGCTTACACGTGATTCTGCAAAGAGGCGTTACTCAGGGCTTACTCTTGGTGGCACTCAGGGGACCATACAGGATGTCAGGATTGAACACAAGTTGGTTGTGTGCAAAGCAAGTGCACTACACGCTGTGCTAGCGCTCCGGCTCACCAACTACAGCCTTCTAGTGACACTGTCTTCCTCCGCTCCTCCCCAGAGCATCAACCTGTGAGAGGTGCCAGCAGCTCCCGGTAAACCCTCTTTACGCCTCATCCCAGAGTCACATACATTCCACTAGTAGTTGTCCTTAGGGGAACAAGGGCATGTTTCGTACACTAAGCAGAGTGCCCTGCTCCTAGATTACACTAATATTCAGTATCGAAAATTCCTAAAATTAGACCTTTACTGATGGATCAAAAGAAGTCTAGTAATCATCCTCCCTGCTACTCCAATACACAGACCTACCTACCTACACACACGTGCACACAGCCACACCTCCAAAAGTCTCGCAGTTTTCTGAAGAAGCACCAGATTGCAGGTGCATTCCAGGACTTGTTCTCCCCTTGGGCCTGAGCAAGTTACAGATAGCGCGCTTGCCTTGCACGTGGTCAACCCGGGTTTGACTGTCAGCACCCCATGTGGGTTCTCCAAGCCCCGACAGGAGTGATCCCCCAGCCCAGAACCAGGAGTCAGCCCTGAGCACCGAGAGGTGTGACTTATTTTATCAAATGACTGCCAACAGCTCTGAACTAGATCTCTGGAGGTGCCCGGGACATGAACCCCAGAGTAGGGGCGAGGCGGCCTTTGAATGACTCCCAGCACAAGCCACACGTCACCCAGAACCTCATCTCTTGCTCAAGTTCCCACCGCTGATCCCACACGGACCCCAGAATTCCTTCAAGACCCACGCAGGGGACCCCATTCCAGGCACCCTTCGAGCAGTGATAGACCTAGCTCTGTAACGGATGCGACAACAGACGCAGCGACAGCCAGGGTCCAGCGGGGTCCTTGAGGACACGCCGCACTGGTCCCTACCTCGGATTTCCACACGACATAGGAGTGGCTGCGGTTGCAGGGCGCGCTCTGGAACTTCCTCTGCTGGAGCCACCTCCGGGGTGAAGCGAAGATGCCGTTGGAGGCCCCGCTGGCGGAGCCGACGATGGCGCTGCGGCCGCCGCCCGGCCCGGCCAGGACCGAAGGCAGGTCCCACGCCAGGCTCCTCTTGGGGCCACCGCGACCCAAGGGCACGTCATAGTCAAAGAAGAAGCTGCCCGACGGCGACTTCTCCTGCGGGGTGCTGGGTGTGGACAAGGACGAGCAGAGGGGTCTGGGGGCCGGGGGTCGCGCCGACCGGGGGGCTGGGCCCCGGGGGCTGAGAGTGGGGCGTGAGCCCGGTCCCTCGGCCGCGGGCAGCGGGGAGCAGAGGCGGCCGCCCGGGGGTCCCCTCGAGCCGCCCTCGGACCCGGCGTCGCCGCCGCTGCTGCCGCCGCCGATCAGGGCCGGGTCCAAGCTGCGGGTCTGGCGCAGCTTTCTCTTGGAGCAGCCCTTGGCCGACGCGGCGTTGCCCGGGGCCGGCGAGGAGCAGGAGAAGACGCTGTGCAGGAGGCTCTGCGCGGACATGTCGGCGGGGGGCCACCCTTGTCCCCCGCGCCCGGGACACTGGCGGGTGCAACCCGGGCAGGAAGGGGGGCTCGCCGACGGCGGGGAGCAGACGGGCCGGCTCACACGCCCCCGACGCGCTCCCCGGGGCGCCCCGGCGGCGGGCGCGGACACAGGAGATCCATCAGCAGCCTTCGAGGAAACGGGGTCGGGACAGAGCTGGGGGTCCCCGCGCCCAAGTCACCAAAGGCGGCGAGAAGAGGGGGCAGCCCGGCCCGCAGCGCCACTCCCCCTGCAAGCGTCCGGCCAGCTCGTCCTGGCGCCCCGCGGACCGTCCGGCCGGCCGGGCAGGAGGCCTCCTGGGTGTGCGCCCAGGTCGCGTCCGTCGCGCTCCCGGCGCGGTGGCAGTCCCTGTCCCCGGGCCTGGGGGGTGCCGGCTGGCCAAGCTGCGCTCCCGGGGCGCTCCGGGGGCGCCCCGATCTCCGCGGGGTAGCCGCGCCCCCACCCCGGTCCTCCGAGCGACCCGGCGCGCGGGCGTCCGCCAAAGTCCGCGGGGGTCCCGCGAGGTGCCAAGTCCGGCCACCAAGTGGGCACGGTGAGCGCGCGGCGCCCGGGGCCTTCCGAGGGCTGGAGCGAACGCCCGGCGGTAGCGTGGGAGCGAGACGGGGGCCGCCGCCCCACCCCTCCCGGCGCGGGGTGGAGGGGTGCGGGGATCAGGGAGGGGGAGGCTCGCTCTTCGCAGCCCGGCCCCGGCCCCGCACGCTCAGGCTGCGGGCGGCGAGAAGGAGGCGGCGGCGGCGACGACGGGTGGGCAGGAGCGAAGCCCCGGCCGGCGCTGGGGCGGAGCCAGCCGCGAGCGCAGCGCAGCGCGGGGAGTTTTTCCAGGCGCCAAAGCCGAGAGACGCGGGCAGATAGAGCGCGGCTCGGCCCTGATAGGGGGGTCTCCGGGGGGGGGGGCAGAACCGCGACGAAGCAAGCACAGACCCCTCTCCACCCCCTACCCCATCCCCTCCCCTCCAGCCCGCCTCGCCTCCCCCAGATGCACCGGGGCCCGCCAGCAGTTCCAACTCACGTTTCTGGAAGGGCAGGGCGGGTGTCGGGTTGCACTCCACCCACTGGTGTCAGGAGGGCAGCCTGGACGGGCCTGAAGTGGGAGCGAAATCGGTCGGCGACCCTCGGCTCCCGCAGTTTTTGTTCGGGGGGCCGGGAGGATGCAAATGCAGGGACAGCCAGTGAAGACCCGAGGCTTAACGACCGGCCATCCTCGGTGGGGTGGTGGGGGTGGGGGATGGGGTGGGCGCGGTTGGGGTCTTCCCGTCTGGGGGTCGTGTGTAAACGGATTCGAGGGGGAGGGGGCAGCGCGGCCGGGCGGTGGGCAGGCGCCCGTCAGGCCAGGAGCGTTGGCGATTGGCGCCCACAAAGTGATGAGCCCCGGGTCGGCTCTTAGACGCCTCTGGGCGCGGGAGCTGCGGCCGCATTCCTGGGCGGCTGGAAACCGCGGGGCGAAGAGCCCCTGCTGCGAGCCCGACCCCGACACTCGCCCCTGCCCGCCCAAGTCTGTACAGTGTCGGGCCGGGGTCGCCCGCCGCGGGGAGGGGCTTTTGCACTTTCCTTTTCCGTTTTTTCCACGCGTCAAACAACTCTCTCCCTGGGGGAACGGAGAGAAAGTTGCAACGGCCCGCGCTCCTCTCCACAGAGCAAAGAATGTCAGACAAATGTCGAGATAACTTTTCTTTATCATTCTTTTCAAAGCCGGAATTTTTTTTCCCATCCTGCAGAGAGGCTGGAGAGCTAGGGCGGCGAGCAGGGAGTTTGCCTTGCACGCGGTCGACCCGGGTTCAATACACTGCATCCCCAGAGGTTCCCCGGCCACCGCCAAGAGTGATCCCTAAGTGTAGAGTCAAGAGTAAATCCTGAGCATGGCAGGGCTCTCCTCTCGCCACCCCCCCTCCCAAACAAAAACCCAACTTGCTTGCTTTTTTTTTTCTTTTTGGGGTCACACCCGGCGATGCACAGGGGTTATTCCTGGCTCATGCACTCAGGAATTACTCCTGGAGGTGCTCGGGGGACCATATGGGATGCTGGGAATCGAACCCGGGTCGGCTGCGTGCAAGATAAACACCCTCCCCGCTGTGCTATCGCTCCAGCCCCCACAACTTGCTTTTTGAACTTGTAAACACCGGTGCTGGGCACACACATTTGCTCCATGTGTCAGAATTTTCCAACTTTGGTCTACCAAGCCTTTCGTCTTTCAGGAGAAAGATTCATTTCCTTCCACTTGAAAATAGGCTCTGGTGGAACTAGACCCATAGCACAGCGGGTAGGGCGTTTGCCTTGCATGCAGGGAAACCCGGGTTCGATTCCCAGCATCCCATATGGTCCCCAGCGCACCACCAGGAGTAATTCCTGAGTGCAGAGCCAGGAGTAACACCTGTGCATTGCCGAGTGTGACCCAAAAAGCCAAAAAAAAAAGGGAAAGAAAGAAAGAAAGAAAGAAAGAAAGAAAGAAAGAAAGAAAGAAAGAAAATAGGCTCTGAGCTGGTGATGTGACTTAGGGGGAAAGCACACATCCTGCCTGTGTGAGATCCTGGCTTGGATACTCCATACCCCCCATCGGTGGGGGGGGGGGGGGACACCATGGAAAAGAAAACCCACAGAAATTCTCTGTTCTTAGAAATTCCACTGTCCCAGAGACATGTCATGGGGAAAATAACAGAAGAATAATCAATAATCAATATCTCCACAAAGGACTTTGTCTGTGGATCTCTCTAATGTCCACTGTTTCAGTCAATGCAGCAAACCACACCCAGTGAACTTCAGGTAACATTCTGAGCCATAGGTTGCTGAAAATAAAACGGTACCAGGGCTGGAGCAATAGCACAGCAGGTAGGGCGTTTGCCTTGCACACAGCCAACCCAGGTTCGATTCCCAGCATCCCATACAGTCCCCCAAGCACCAGCAGGAGTGATTCCTGAGTGCAGAGCCAAGAGTAACCCCTGAGCATGGGTTGGGTGTGACCAAAAAAGCTAAATAAAGAAATAAATCGGTACCCATTTCCAGCATCCGTACCATTGTCCATCCTCTATAAACCTGAGATTTTCAGTGGATAACAATTAGGTGTGTTGTGGTGAGACAAGGCCGTTAAAATCACTCACTTCCTTGCCTGAGTACACTGGCCAAAACACATTGGGGGAAGGGGGTGAGGTTAGATTTCTTCCCTCCCCAAACAAGTCAAATTAGAAGTAAAAGAAATCAAGTCTTCTCGCTGGTCCTTTCCTCCATTCACTATATCTTGAAATTTGTCACTAGTAACGAAAACACAACATCGCTACCACCCAGATACCATTGCATGGAATTGGTTATGCCTCATTGGATTTTGGCATTTGGAGTAGATGGTTAACGAAGTCACCCTTCAGAGGACCATGTAGCACTCAAGGTGGTTGAGCAGAGTAATTCAGGATTCCTATAAGTTGTTTCCCTAAGCCTGTAGGATGACTGTGGGGTTGAAAGTGCAAGCCAGCCATGATTGTGTAGGGCTAATAAGAATGCCCTCCAGTCACGAAGTCCTACATTCTTGGTCATGGATGCTGGAGAGCCAATAGGCAGGGACTCTTCTACAGCCAGTGGGGACCTGAGGCAGACACTTCCAGTTAATTCATCATCTTGTTTGCAACAGGTCCTGACCCTCCATTAGCCTGGCACTTGCCTCGCCTCGCCATTGGAAACAATGAATAAACTGTTTTTAAATATTCATAAAATTAAACTTAGGCTCTTATTTAAACACCCAAATGTAAGCATGTATGCTTTTAAAATACAGAGGAGATGTGACTCTTCTGGAAAGGAAGATATGGTAAGAAAATTATTTGGATTTTTCGATGATCTTTTTAAAATGATTTTGATTTCCAACCCTTGACTGCCATTAAATTTATTTGGCAGTTATTGTGGCTGAAGGTGTATTCACTCATTCATTCACTCATTCATGGTTATGGCCACTGCATAATCCCTCAGCTACAATAAACCCAGTTCACATTGGCCTTTCTGAATGACCAGTATTTTATGCCAAACTTGTAGAAGGAAGATCTGGGTTTCATTTACCAGTTTTTAAAGAGGATGGGTTTTTTTTTAATCTCAGAATCCTTCTTACAATTCATCAGCCTGTTCTGAAGCAATAGAACTGGTAGTGTAGGGGCTGGAGCAATAGCACAGCAGATAGGGCGTTTGCCTTGCACGCGGCCAACCCGGGTTTGATTCCCAGCATCCCATATGGTCCCCTGAGCACTGCCAGGGGTAATTCCTGAGCACAGAGCCAGGAGTAACCCCTGTGCATTGCCTGGTGTGACCCCAAAAGCAAAAAAAAAAGATCTGGTAGTGTAGAAGTGAATGCTTTTGAATGCATATGCTTTAAAACCAGGTTTCTAAGATTTCACCATTAGGCTGTTCGCTACCGAAAAGTTCTGCTCATATTTGTTTATTGGGTACTCCCCTCTCAGAACCCAAGTTAATCAAGCCTCGGGAAAATCTTTAAAGGACAGAACAGTCTGTTCACTACTTATTCTCTATTATAATTATCCTAGAAATTCCGGATAGAAAGCATATCTATTCCATCTGGTCATGGAATAAGAATATTCTAATGAAAGTTCTAGAGTCCTAAGTCTAACATCAAGGTATCCGCTTATCAAGGATCCTAGAAAACACATCAGCTTTCCTTCTATTCCCTGGGGATACTGTCGACCAGACACATACCTCTGACACATATCAAAGGATATATTCTGTTTAACCTAAATTTCCCTTTCCTTAACTTTATCCCCTGAAACCTTTTATATCTCCAGCCAAAATTCCTCTTTCCCCTTGGTGTTTAGACCCTCGAGCTATTTGTAGATTTTTATCATGCCCCTTGGGTCTGACTTTGTGGTTTGGCTACACTATAAAGTTCATATTTTCTTTAAAACCATCATCATAGATGATCTCCTCTGGATTCTCTCCAGTTGCCTATTTCTTTTCTGTCCTGGGGTTCAGTATTC